AGGCTTTAGTAGCCAATCGAGCTTTTGAAGTCTTCTCAGGCATTTTGCTCTCGTTGCTGCGATGTGAGGCCCCCATATGAGCCTTCGATCCAGGTGGACACCCAAGTAGCAGAAAGAGTTGGTCTGCTCAATGGTTCGTCCATCGAACCGTAGCCCCTGGCAGCTGTATGACTATTCTATTCGACGCATGCCGAAGGCAGGGTTGCCACCTGACAAAAGTTTTTCGATATTTCGATGCACTGCTTGAATCATTGACATTTGCTAGGTTCGTGAACCTTGCCTTCTACATTTATTATTGATTTGTAAATATGTTTTTGTTTTTTAATAGAACAATTTCAAGAGTTCTTCGAAGACGAGTTGTCTAACTAATCCAGTTTGGGCAACTGAAAATCAAGTATCCGCTTTCAAATCCCAGAGTAGTACAGGATGTGCAGGGATGTCACCATATTTAATTCAGACAAAATTGCCGCCTCATATGACTATTTCGTTGATTAAGTTCTCGGGTCGAACCACTTAAGACCTCATACTAACCTTCCGTACCTATAAAGTAAAGTATGAATTCTTCAAACTATTTATAATTCCTAATAGAGCACTTCAAAATGGTGCATTTCTTAGTCGATGAATTGCTTAAGTTTTTCATGCATTTAAAAACCAAGTAACCTTATTCGAATTTCAGTCTAGTATGGATGAAGTGTATCTTTAGCTATTTAAAAAAATAACAGGTTGGAAGTCTGTAACCATATTCTATATAGCATATATGTATATGCCACCCGATATAGCTATTTCGTTGATTTGGCTTACGGTTCGAAGCTTAGGTTTGTGAACTTTGCCTTTTAAATCTATAAGGCTGTGTATTTATTTATAAAATGTTTAATATTATTTTTTAAATTGGGCGGGGTTGCATAGATAGGTGTCTAAATGATCCATTTGTTATAAAGTGGAATACTTTAAATTAAGTAGCCATTTTCTAATCCAAGTTTAATGTTGTCTTCGCTATTTCAAAAAATCAAGTTTATATCCTTTAACCATATTCTTCTAAGAACAATATTTAATGTACACATATGTAAATGTTTATGAGGTTATGAATCTTTAAATTTGTATGTTCAGCAATTGAGCAATTAACCATTTACCGTATTTTGTTTTTCTATTTTGGTAATAGTAGCTTACAGTTATTTCTATGCACATACATCGTAGTCCCCATGGGCCACTTATATTTGACATTACAATCCCCTGTACAAGCACACAAATGAATGTGTTTTTTTGGTTATGTATGTTTGAATACCTTTAAAGTGTAGGGAACTACGTAATTTCAAAATAGACAACTGTCAAAGCTCATTTAAATTGTCAAGAAATATAATTGACAGTTTTCATCAAATGGCGTTCAGTTTCTCCATACCAAATTGTGTCAATGCCAAGTGGAACATTTGTTGTCCCTTACTTGTGGGTGGGGCAAACAACGAATCGACAATGACGACCTATTCTGTTCAGAAACAGAATAAAAAATTAGAAATTAAACGAAAATCTCTCTCAATTGAACACTCCAATAAAGTAAATCTCATTAATTCGGTTCGCGTTTCAAACTAACTTCATGCGTTTTATGAAGCACAGCCTTGAGCAAAGATTTTTCGAATTTATAATAATAATAATATATACATATTAAGAATTTAATAAGAATTGCTCGTTGTAGTAACAATATTAAAAGCTTTAAATATGTTCTCCCAAAAAAACCAAACGGCTTTCATATGATTTCCACCCAAAATTTGTTTCCAGCAAATATGATTGGTTAAAGGCTATAAGTGAGGCCAAATTTATTTATACTTGGGTTGGTGTCTGCCTCATATGTTCTTTTTGCTTGTTTATGAACCAAACTATTTCTTTTAAAAACAATTGGTTTGGTTCAAAACGAAATATTAAATTCAAAACGGCTCCGTTAAAAAGGCATTTACAGCCTTGCACTTAACTCTAGTCCAATTGATTGTTCATAAATTGGTCTAATTTCTGCTCATTGACAAAAAGTATGTTTGAACTACTTACTATAAGCTTTATTGTACATGGTATAAAAAGGATAGATATATTCATGTATGCGTATATCTGGGCCTCGACTTACGCATATGGGTGAGAGTCCAATTTCGTAGCGTAGTACTCGAGGACAAGGCTATAATGACCTTTTACCCGCATACAGTATGTAGGGAAATATGTGTGATAATGCACATTGGACACATTGGTCCGTCCAGTTGGGTCGATAAATGTTAAATAAATAAACTTGTTGCTGAATTAAGTGGCGACTAGTTGTTGATTGTCAATGGGTGAATGTCAAATATGTGTAATTTATTTATTTTCAATTAACTGAAGTTCTGGACACAACTTAGAAGAGTCTGGTTGCAAGACCTTTAGATTCCAATTGACCAATGCTGGGCGTCGCACAAAAATATTTTGATATTTATTTGACCTATTGCCGTCTGACAAAGGACCTGACTTGGTATTCGACCCCTATAGCCTTGCTGAAAGTAGCACGAAACTGTATAGATGGAAACATAGATACATATCGTACCTGGCCGCGCGTCCTACGCGTATGACTTGCTAGATGCGTCAATAGTTGTGGTTGGCTTGTCAGTTGTGCAAAGTCCCATGCCATCGAGGTAATCACAGCAATTGAAGGTTTATTGATTCGACTTTGTCATTTTTCAAGTTCTATATTGCTAATCGATTATTGATTTCAAGTTAAAGCCACTCAAATGCCACCTAATTAAACCCAATCAAAATTACCTAAGGTTCGCTTCAATAGTTAAATATGTGCTAGTACTTTTGTATACGTACATCCGATTTCGTGCGATCTTTTTTGATTGCTATATTTTATTTATTTTTAATTTAAATGATTTAAAATCTCAAATAATTTCCTATTTATTCAAAAGTTGTGCATTCGTTGCCTCTTTTATATCGTTAACATTTTTCGTGCACTCGCTCGCGTGTCCTGTTTTAGTTATTAACACATTGCGTTCTGCATAATGGAACCTTCCGATTTCGGCCGATTTGTTAAAGCACTCGCGCACGAATGACCAAGGACCTGCCACAAGCCACTGGACTAAGCAAGCTTGCAACTGTCGTCTGTCGTCCCAACCGCCACGGAGAGTATCTACCACAGGTAGATAATCAAAGTAATCTAGTTTCATGTGTTGCTCTCTCACCCACTCCCGAATAGAGCGTAAAACGGGGCTATTTCTGCGGTTGCTGGTTTAATGGTCAATTGACACAGCTGAATTCGAAATGGTAGCACACTAGACTCTAGTATAACAAAAAATTTCAAGTGTTATTACGAATGCAGCAAACCCTCAATTTGATTAGTTACCACAGACCAAACGGAATATTCTATTCACAGACAGACATATGTAAGGAAGGACCTTATAAGCCTTAATAAATGTACCCTGACCATTGGTCGTTTCTGAAGGGTTTTGCAGTGTTAAATCATGACCTCACTATTAATTGCCCTATCACAATCGTAACGTAACTTTTAAAATAGAATCCCCAATCAAAAATTTTTTATATGCTACTATTATTATACGGCAGTACGTCTATTTTGAGCAACTATATGTACTTGCGTCAAACAATCGGCCAAGTGCGTCGTTTACCACCTTCAAGACAAGGCGATGCGTGATATGTAATAGTTGTTGTTGTGTCGTTCCTATTTGAATTTACAGCTCTAAGAATATTAAATTGCTTGTTTCTGGTAAACAAAAGGTTATTGTAAACACAACGTTGTGTCCCGACTGATGAACTGACTAACTGACTGGCTGGCTGTTGATCAAGGCATAGACCTAAGCGCAGGAGCTGGGAAGCTGAATTTTTTATTAAGTTGGAAATAAATCAAGTTGATGTGCTTGGCAGTGCCTGATTAGCTGATGCCCTGAGCATGATAAGTACAAGCACCCACGCCGGGCTAAGCTATCGATAATTTGCAAGAGTCTTGACATTCGTATGCCCTTATATTCGTCTCAATTGAATTTGCTTAAAATTCAAAATGCATACGTATTTATGCGCAAAGTTAAATGAAACACATATGTTTAAATACACATAAAATCTAAACATAAACCGCTCTCCCACGCGAGTACCTATTTTTATTTTACTAAATATTTAATGAGTAAAAGCATAAGTCTAGCATTCTTATAAATAAATCTATAAAAATAAATTAGTTCTCCCTGCGGGGTTAAAATTCGTGCGCACTAATCGACGAAACAACCTCTCCATAATGACATTTGGCATGTGTGCACACAGAAAATGGCTGCGTGTTTTGCAAATATAAAGAGTTCCGTCTAAGCCCCTTTTTAAACAAATATGTAAAATGTTATTTGAAATATGTTTTACCGATTGCTAGGTACAAATGAAAAAGGCATGTGCATAGGTATGCATGCAAGTATGCATGTTTAATGAACATATAGCCTTACTATGCGATGCTCATGAATTCAAGTAAGGATTTTAGATTTTCAGACGTTGAATATAAGTTTAATCGAGTTATTTGTTAACGATTTATGTATGTATGTGGGTACGTATTTCTCTTTATCTCTCTCTCTCTCTTTCTCTCTCTTGCGCTTAATTAAGCCCGCTTTGTTCTTCTCTTTTTGTTCTTTCAGTCATATATGTATATAAAGGAATATTAAAGGATATGACAATACAAGTCATTCTGCATTTTTATGTGATTTCGGGGTAAGTTCATATACTCTTACAAATATAAATATATACATAAATTTCTATAAAATTGAAAAAGAAAGTTAAGACAACATATTCCTGTTATATATTTCTTGACATAATTTTGTCTTCACACATTTAGTGAAGTTTTTATCTAATGAATATATATATTTCGATTAGTTTATAGATGTTTTTATATCTGTATACCTGCAGAATGTTTTTTTTTTTTTAAAGAAAATATCGTTTCTTTTCCACATTGCACTTGTAAAAAAACAAGCTGTTCAACCATAGATCATTTTATTTAACCCAACACCATAAATATAAGCATAGATATATAAATCCGAATTATAGTAGGATATTTAGTTGGTTTGATAAGAGAACTAGCCCAGTGGTTACTCTTCGGACTTTGATTTTCCCAACTCGTTAGAATTGTTGCTGCACTGCTGAAGAATATCTAATTCGCAAGTGCTTGTTGCCTTGCTGAAGAATTGCCCTGCCTCGCACTCAGCCTCGATTTTCTGGCCATGCAGGCACACAAAGTAGCCGCGGCAGTTCTGTGTGTCCCGTGCTAGCTGGCCATGCCTGCCATTGCAGACGCCCACACGCTCGCCGTTCTCCATGAGGCAAGTGCCGTCATTCTGCCGGCAGATGCCCAGCAGGCTGTCATAGCTTTCGCCATTGCGGCAACGCTGCGATATGGGCTCGTCCTCGTCGCAGCTGATGTAACGCCGACAGTCGCCCGGTTCGGCTATGGAGGCGCCCTCGCCGATCACCTCGCAGAGATTGGCGAAGTCGGTGGGCGCATCGCTGCATTTTTCTGCCGGCTGTGAATCAGCCAATTTAGATTCCATGAGCTCCGTCTTCAGCTCTGGATTTTTCGCCTGTCCATCAAGCTCCTCGTCAGTGGTCAGCTCGAAGGACTGGCACTGCTGCAGTGTGGCGTTGAAGAAGTAGCCCGCGTAGCAGCGCTCGCAGCGCATTTTGTTTGAGACGCAAATGTAAAAGTTGTTGCAATTAGCTAAGTCCGGCAGTAGGTGTCCATGTTTGCCCTCGCACAGTACTGGATTTGGTGGCTCATGATCGCTGCCCAGACTTGTATTGGTCGCATTCTGATTCCCCTCAGTGATTACATAAGGACAGGAGCCGTCGTCTGGGGTGCACAGCAACTGCTCCGCATCAAAGTAGGCACCTGCGCCGCAGCGTTGAACAAGGGGCACACCCCCCGCGCAAATATAGTACCTGGTACAGTTCCTATAGTCGGCCACGTAGCTGCCATCCTGCAGACTGTCGCAGCTGAAGAGAGCACTATTGTTTCCACTTTCATCTAGCTTACCACGCTGACAGAGCTGCGTGGCGCGCACATCCGACTCGGAACTCGGCTCAGGCTCGCAGCGTCCCACAGTTGCATTGAAGCGCATTTTGGACTCACACTCAGCCAGAATGGCGAGTCCATGCACACAGGCGTAGTACTGGTTGCAGTAAAGCTGGTGAGGCAGCCGGGTGCCATGAGCCGTCTTCTTGCATAGATCTAGGCTCGCCAGCGAATCTGGCAGAGATTTCTGTAGACACTGACCCTGATCCGGGCGGCATTGCGCCAGCTGCTTGTTAAAGTACTCACCCGTCGGACAATATAGCAACTGGACGGCATTATGACCGGAGCTGGAGCTGGAGTTGGCATTAGGAGTGTGGCTGGAGCAATTATAATAGGCGCGGCAGTTGTGAGCATGCGCTATCAGGCCGCCAGACGTATTATTAACGCACAGCGATTCAATTTGCTGACAGCTGCCATCGTTGGGTCGACAGTAGCCCAGGCTGGCATCGAAAAAGCTGCCGGAGGCGCAGCTTTGCAACAAGGCGGGCTGCTCCTGCAGGCACAGATAGAAACGCGTGCAGTCCTCCGCATGCGCAACACTCTGGCCATCGGGCTGACCCACGCAGCTGCTGCTGCTGCTGCTCGTGGTCTGAGCTTGGCATTTCGCCAAAGGCTGGCATTTGTTTAGCTGCCGAGCGTAGCTCTGGCCACGCAAACAGCTGCCCAGATGCCACTCGTCTGCATCGCAGTGGTAAAAGAACTGGGTGCAATTAATATCGGGCAGGGGCAAAGCACGCAGCTCGCCTTGCTGGCAGGATCGGCGCAAGCCGCTGCCCTGGCAGCTGCCGTCGTTGGCCACACAGCCGAGCAAGGGCTCGAACTGATCAGATTGGCCACACGACTTGCCAATCCATCGCCCATTGACGCACTGTTCGTATAAGTGGCAGCTGGTGGCCAAGGCGCGTTTTTGTCCATGCAAGCAGCCAGTGGATTCCACTTGACTAACGTTCAGGCGGCACTGATTGGCATCGTTTGGCAGGCAGTAGTTGGCCACACGGCTGAAGTACATGCCCAGCGGACACTGCTGAATCCACCAGGAGTTTTCCATGCACATCAAAAACTTATCACAGCCATTTGGATAGGGACGCACTGTCAGATGCTGGCACTCAACTTTCACTTTGGTCTCGCTACGATTGAACCAGCCGCAAAAATCCTCGCCCTCAAATTCCGGCATGGGCAGACACGTGTTTAAGTGCGCTGCATAGTAGTGGCGCCTGGGGCAGCTGCGCAGCCGCCATTTGCCTGCCGCACAGCGAAAATATTGCAGACAGTTGCCCTTGTCATCTGTGGTCGGTATCGTCTCGGATTCGGTGCTCGGGCCGCAGGGCGGCAAGCCCGGCACTCGCGCATAGCTGCAGACCATGTCATCACGCGGCTCCAAGCAAAGCTGTTGCTCAGGATTGTAATAACGCGCCTCGGAGCAAGTGCGTCTGCGCCAATTTCCGTCAAGGCAAATCTCGTATTGGGAACAGTTCGCTGGCACGGAACGCTTCATATTCACCTCGCAGACGAACTGCAATGAAATGGTTGACATTTAATTTTATTGGAGCTTAATTAAATTGGAGCTATTAATTCCAGCTAACCGCAGATCCCGAGGATTAGTGTTCGAATTCCCAAGAAGCGGACAAAAACTGAGTATGAAAACTTAAGGTCGAAAGTCCGTTGATATTTGAAAGTGTGGAACTAAGGGGCTGATAGCCAAAGTCCTTTCTTTTACCCCTTGACTGCCATCTACAATTAGAAGCCAACTAAATAAAAGACCGAAATAAAAGTTCAGCTCGGGTAAATAAACATATATGTATATATATTTGGATAGGTATAAAATTTGGATCAAGCGGAATTTCTCATAATATATAGTAACTCTTAAATAACAAAAGTAATTATATATGTGTGTAATTTAAGACATCGTCTAAGCTCTACATGGGTTCAAGTCATTCGTGTAGGGTCGCATTTTTTAATGGTTAGCTTATGCAAGCTTCTGGAAGAATTTTTTAAGGAATGAGAGTGATCTTACTTTTTCCTCCGGCTCCACAGATCTTTTCCGTATGCCATGTTCCTTGATCAGGCACATGTTCAAGTTGCGATCAAAGAGTTTACCGTCTGTGCATTTGTGATATGTGACAACTTCCGCCTTTCCATCGCACGAGCAAAATCCTTCGGAAGTATTCTTCGCTGCAAATGCCTCGAATTGTGCACGATTCAAGCAATCACGAGGATCACAGGCAGCAACAGTGGCCGTCACTTCATCCACACAGACGCCCGTGTTAACATCAAAGATGTGTCCAGCGGAGCAATGATAATATGTGGGCACTATATCACAGGAGCAGAAGCCCTTGGTCGTATTCCTTGCTGCGAATGTGTCAAATTTGTTACGAGTTCTGCAGAGCGCCGGATCGCAGGCATCGACCACACAAACGTTAAAGGTCTGATCAAAGATGTGGAATTCACCACAGCTCTGATAGGTGGCAACGCCTACAGCCTGGCATGTACAGAAACCATTAACCGAATCCCTGGCTGCAAAAGTGGTTAATTCAGCGAGGTTGTTGCACTGAGAGGCATCACAAGCCATTTTTAGATTGGTTTTGGTATCTGGTTCCAGGCATAATTCCAATGTGGCATTGTATTCCTTGCCCACTGGACAGGACTCAAAGATGGCGATGCCTTCGATACACAGGCAAAAGCCTGAAATTGTGTTCAGAGCAGCGTAGGTGGAGTGATCAGCCAGTTTTGCACATTTTCCTTTGGTACAAACGGTGCTAGGTGCCTGTCATTAATACACTCATTAAGTATCCACAAAGATTACATCAACTCGAATTAAACCCACCTCAATTAGTTCGCAGATTCCTTCGGTGGCATTGTAAACTTTTCCGTTATCGCAGTTCCTATAGATTGCCGTGCCGTTAATACATACACAAAAGCTTGTGTCGTCCTCTTCGTTCGATGAGGGGAACGTGTCATATTCCTGAAGGCATGAACACTTATCCGAGTCACAATATTGGCTTGATAAGCAATTCTGTTGAAGATACCCGATATACATATGATTAATTGTATTGGATTAGAGTAGAATTAAGTGACTTACTGATTCCAGGCATATTTCCAGGACAGCATCAAACACCTTACCATCAGGGCAAAGACTGTAATTCGGTATTCCTCCCTGACAGTAACAGAAGCCCAAAGTGCCATTGCTTGCTTCATATGGCTGATTTTCGGCAAGAGTATCACACTGTGTCGCATCACAGACTTCTGGACCCTAAATTTCAAATGAATTAATATTCATTATCAATATACGGAAGGCTCAAGCACACACGCTTACCGTCTCCAAGCAAATCAGTAGTTCTGTGTCGAATTCCTTGCCAGTAGGACAAAGGGTATATTCAGCGCAGAAGTCCTTACAGGTGCAGAAGCCATCTACGGTACTTTTAGCTGGGAAAACTATATTCGGTATTATATTATCAGCACACGTTGTGGAGTCGCACTCATTGCAGATGCATGAGTTATCCGCCTGCGGAACATATAAAGCAAATAACTTTCGGAAAGCAGAGATGGGAAGAAGAGTATTTACAGCTGAGTCCAAGCAAATGCCTAAAGAGTCATCGTATGTTTTACCGGGCGGGCATTCACTAAACGTGGGCACCTCTGATAAGCAGTAACAGAATCCAGTTTCTGAATTAAGGGCTGGGAATGTGTCACCATCTGTCTTACCAACACAATAGTTGCGACAGCATCTGGGCTATAATTTTCGGAGTATTAGCATGGAAGATCGTAAGTATTTAAATTATTATCAAGCAATCAACCTACATCTGGCTGTGGTGCTAGCACGCACAGGAGTAGTGTCCCATTGAAGCTATATCCAATCGGGCAGGGTACGGGTATGGGTTGGTTGACGCGGCATACACAAAAACTATCCGGATCATCATAGTTTACCGAAACGGAGTATTCATCTTTGCCCTGACACGCTAGAGGATCGCAAGGACCCGTCTGAAATGTTATCATATAATAGTAGCGTAAAGACTTCTACACTCCGTACGCTCTTCGAATCGAGTACTTACAAATGTGCATATTTCTAGCGTTTCATCGAACGTATAACCAGATGGGCAGTTCTGCAAGTAGGCGCCATCGCTTTCGCAGAGACAGAACGTGCTGTTATCACAAGTTAGCGACGGGTAAGCCTGGTTCAGTGTGTTTTTCGTGCATACCGATTGATCACAGGAGCTCTGCAATTCATAAAGAGTTTTCTTAAACTTATCCATATCCAGATAGAGTGTAATATTCCACTTACACTAGGCTGGGCCAGACAAATCAACAAGGTTGGGTCAAATATCGCGTCCGCAGGGCAGGAACGAATTGTGGCGACATTGTCAAGACACAAGTAGAACTTTGTGTCATCGTCGGCGACAGGGAAGGCGGCGTTATTGTCAGCTGTGGCGCACAGATTAGCACTGCACGAGACTTTGCTGGAGCATTTGCCAGTCGCTGAATCGAAACCTTCGCCCACAGCGCAATCAACCACTTGTGGCACTCCGTCGGTGCAATGATAGTATTTGGAGCAGATGGGATGTGCCACATTACCGGATCCACAACTGCAGGGATTTATGCACTGTCCAGTGACATCGATTCTGCAGGCACTGCCATCAAACCACTCGCCGGTTGGGCAAGTGGCAGGCACAGCCAATCCATCAGAGCAGGTCACGTAGGAGGTACAATCAGCAGGGTCGATCATCTGATAGCCGTTCGGCCTGTTGCGACATATCCAGCAGGTGGCATCAGTGTCAGGTACACAGGCGCCCTCACTATTGCTGAATATATTGCCCTGACCGCAGGTGCCGTCGATCAGTTCGCCATCATGACACAGTTGATACTTGTCGCAGTCGGTTGGATGCGCAACCATGCTGCCCTCAGCCATGCCATTGGGGCAAGTGCAGTCACTGTCTGCTGCACGCTTGCTGCGCGAATTCGGCTGCAACAGCTTGTTCTCGGGGCATAGATTGTTGTCATCCGTGCGACAAATGCCCACGGAGGCATCAAAATAGAAGCCACCAATGCAGGATTCCTTCTTCCAGATGCCACTGATGCAGGCAACATAGCTCCAACAGTTGTCTGCAGCAACAGCTGCCTTGATATCCTTGCACTCACCACCCACAACAATAGGAGTCTCTCGACCGGGCACAGATGGTGTAACGATGACGGTGTCGTTACCTGAGCCGGAGCCAGAGCCGGAGCCAGAGTCTGAGCCAGAGCCGGAGCCAGAGCCAGAGTCAGAATCGCTGCCAGTATCGCATTGTGGACACACATTGTCCACATCTATTACGCAAGTGGAAAGATCAATATCGAAATAGGATCCGCTTGGACAGGTCTTTGACTGCCAGTTGCCATTTTCGCACTCATAATACTGATTGCAATTCTCTGCATTGTCAGTCACATCGCCATCCACACAGTCCGAAGTTGAGCTGTCGGGGCAGCAGTTATTGCTGTCTATCACGCATACTCTGATCTCAGGATCAAAATAGTTGCCTCGTTGGCAATCTCCGGGCACCAGTTCACCATTTAAACATTTAAAATATAAACGGCAGTTGTCCGGATTGGGAACTAGCTCTCCATGACTGGAGCCATCGGCGCAGTCACACTCTGAGGGTGGAGCCAGGGTAGTGGTTGTTGTGCTATTTTTGTCGGGGCATGTGCCGGGTATGCAGTGCGGACCCGATACATCGAAGTAGCTGCCAGTTGGACACTCTTGAGCGGTTGCCTTTTGCCCTGAGCACATATAGAAGATAGTGCAGTCGTCCTCATCAGCCACCGCAGAGCCATCGGGCTTGCCAATGCAGAAGTTCTCCCAGCATTGCGAGTTATTCTCATCAACGACGCAGGCCAACAGGGTGGTGTCAAAGTAGGTGCCACTGGCGCAGGATTGCAGCGTCGCCTCCTGATCCCGGCAGACGTAATAGCTGGCGCAGGATGTGTTGCTGGGCAAAAACTCACCATTTTCTTTGTCCACGCACTTATTTTGCCAGCACTCCGCGTCTGGGTCTGGAACGCAACCATTTGTCTGGATATCAAAGTAGCTGCCAGCATCGCATGCCTGGGCATACGCCAGCTGCTGATCACAGATATAGAAGTCCTTGCAATAGCCAGTCTTCAACAAATAGGCGCCATTCACCTCGTCGGCACAAATATTGGCGGCCTAGATGTTTATGAATAAATAATACAAAATATAGGAACAGTGAATCACCGGAATTAACTAGGGGCGCCGACTTACATCCGCCAGGGGCGCGGCCAGGCTCAGTTTGCATAGACCACGTCCTGCTGTTGAGCATTTGCCAGTTTTCGAATTATACTCCTTGCCGGTGGGGCAGTTTATGGAGCGCACAGTATTCTTGGTGGAACAACGATAATAGCTGGAACAGCTGCTGGGATTTGGCCAATGTGGTGACAGTCCACGTAGCTTGCGGTAAACGCATTCAGGATCAGCAGCGCCGGCAAGGGATGCCACTGCGGTCAATGTAACCACAGCAAGCAGAGTAACTATTGGGAAGAGTTAGAAAAAGTTGAACAAATGCTTAACTTTTGTCAACTCTATGCGAGAGACAATTGGTGTCCTTTGCTGACCTTTCATTTCTATGCACTAATATTCCACGTCTATTGCTATGATTGTACTCCGCCCAATTACCAAAATTTCAGACCCTTTATATACACATATTAAGAGATCGCAGTTAACATTGATTTCTGTTTATCAGCATCGATCGATCAGCGCATACCTTATCAGTATTGTAGTTTCTGTTAAACATGCGCCCATGAAGTATTTTTTAATTGAGTTCAAGAATTTTGCATCAATTCCGGGAAGACAACAAATCTATATTGTCGTAGACTCTGCTCAGCCACACCTCTCATATCAATATAATCAGTACTTAATTGCTTATGAATGAAGTTCATTATGGAACCATGGAATGGCAATACTCCTGCTCCGAAAATATTTAAAAGCACATTTAGAATTTTCGTTCTAGATATATTTGCATATGTATATACATTTTTTCGTGATATATTACTATTAGGCGCATTCACGATCGCAAGTTAAATTTTTAGAGTCCCAGTAGAGATCGCCGCATGTTTTAATAAAGCCCCGGTCCCCATCACATTGTATAAACTGATGGCAGTCATAGGGATGGGGCAGGTACTCCACACCGGGATGCATTTTGCACATGGAGTTGGCATCCACATAGATCTCCGTAGTTGTTGGCGTCAAGAGGGTAGACAATGTTGTTGCTTTGGTTGTTGTCTCTGCCGTATCTGTTTCATCTGTTGCTGTGCTTTGGGTTGAAGTTCTTGGTACTTCGGTGGGTCCAATATCTGTTGGAGTCTGTGGCAGCTCTGTTGGTGTGCTTTGGGTTGAAGTTCTTGGTACTTCGGTGGGTCCAACATCTGTTGGAGTCTGCGTTAAATCTGTTGGTGTGCCCTGTGTGGAAGTTTTTGGTACTTCGGTGGGTCCAACATCTGTTGGAGTCTGCGTTAAATCTGTTGGTGTGCCCTGTGTAGAAGTTTTTGGTACTTCGGTGGGTCCAACATCTGTTGGAGTCTGCGGCAGCTCTGTTGGTGTGCCCGGGTCCTCGGTTGACAAGGTAGGATCACTTGTAGTCGGTGATGCGTCAGTGGGTAATGCGGTTGTTAAGGTACTCCGCGTCCCAGTTGAGCCGCTGTCAGTGGGTGTCGATTGAGTGGTGGTTGGTTGAGTGGAAGACGGTGCTGTGGGCGTCGTTGTTGCTGGACTTGGCTTAACGCATCGTCTTGCATTGAGCGCTGTCGTCAGGAGCAGCAGCTGCAACGCTATAAATATCCAGGAGACCACTGAAACAAATACACATTTCCCTTGATATAGTGCTTGGGCTGAGGTAATTAAGAACACTTCACTTTTTACAAAACTCACATTTCATCTTGTTCTGGGATCAGGTATCTGTACTAGAGTAAGTGCATGCTGTTCCCTTTATATTTATACCGATTGAAAATGCATCGCCTATGGTCACCTTATCAATATCTAATTAGTATATAACATGGCACTTAAGCATTTATCTTATCTCAATGTGAACACGATTTGCATAAAGTTACATATTTCAATCAAATTGACATTGTTATTGGCCAGAATCAAGTGAGGGTTGTAAACAGCAAATCGATATACTTGAACCATGGCCGGGAATACTTATATTATCATATATTAGATTTACTTTTCTTAAGCAAAATTGAAATTGTTACTAAATATATTTAATTGTGTCCACATTGAAGAGTAAGTCATTTGTATGAAATATTTATTATTTTCTTTTAATACTGCCTAAAAGTAGGCAACGTGTCTGGTGACAATTTCTTAGTTTTTTAGCAGCATTCATTAAAATTGGGAGTAGAATTGAGAAGTTGTTGGTATTTTGGAAGTAGCTCAATAACATCGTTTAATTTTATTAAACCTGTAATTAGATGAGATAGAGATGAAATATTATATTTTATTGCTTACATTTTACACGTTTACAGAGGGTTCAATAACTTACGAGGACAAAATATATAAATTCCCAATCAGCTTTGACTTTGTAACTATCTATCTACACGTCTCTATATATAAAACAGTTTGTTCTGGGTGACAGGAAGCTGAAATTTTGATTTTCAAAGGCCTTTGTTCAAATTTATTTGATGGCTGTTTCACACTTTTCAGAAAATCCATTTCTCTTTGGTGGAAATGGGTATCAAAGATTTTGAGGTTGAAGTTTTGAGTTCAAATTCATTTCCAAGAATCTTTATGCTTTACACATTTTCGCAGGATCCAAGCTTCATCTGTAAAAAATACGATTCAAACTTTTTTTGGGCAGAGTTTAAACTTTTTGTTCGATGTTTTCAAAGCAAAAATGTGGACTTAAAGATAGTACGGGCAAATTTAAATTTCAAATTGTTAATTATACAATTTTAAGCACAAATCTTACAATACTCGCCTGTCTGTCTATATTTTGATTGCAATGTGCAGGTCCTATGGGCGGACAGAACAAAAATCTAGCTAATGATAAGATGCCTATATATTAAATAATTTGAAATTGATTTGAAATATATAATTGAAATTGATTGATAGCTCATTCAGCGTAGCCATGATCTTGTTGGGAAGTGAAATAATGTCATAAATAAAACAAATCGCGCTTATCTATTTCCGTCTATTGACGGCTGTAAACACGTTTAAGTCGACTGATTGTTGTAAGTCCCACAAGAAAGAGGGATTATATTGCTAAGTATATAAGGTCCGATAGTTCAGTATTATTCCACTCATACCTACACGAGCAGGCAGACCAATAGGAACAAACCGTAAACATGAAAGGTAAATTAGAAACCGAAAAATTACCCAACCTAAATCATCAATAAGTACTGGAGATTTTGTTTCGTATCCCACAAATTAGTGAGCTTAATTGGAATAGTACTTTGCTATGCGATAACCGCTTTTGCTCTGCCAATTGATGAGTCAACCACATTGGAAATTTCAACTATTGAGACAACAACTGCCGAAACGGACACAACCGAGACACCAACATCTGCAACAACTGAAATAGATACCACATTCGAACCACCTGTTCTTTGTGATGATGGTGTCCAATTTCTGCCAGCGCCAAATTGTGATCAATTCTACTTGTGCGCATATGGTATAGGAATACTAAAAACATGCCCCAACGGACTCTACTGGGATCCCTCGCTAGACGTTTGCAACTGGGGCTCAGATTATTGCGAAAGCGATCCGCCTGTCCCTGAATCACCGGAATCTGATTGCTCCACGGGAAATCAATTTGTGCCCGATGAATCTGATTGCACCAAGTACATTCAGTGCGTTTATAATATTGGAATTCAAATGAGCTGTCCACCAGGCCTATTCTGGAACCAACCACTTCAGAGATGCGACTACGAATGCAAATTTTAGAATTTATCCGTGAACCGTGGCAGTTTTGTTAAAATTGCAAAATATATTGTTCAATAATATCAAAAGTGCAACCAAACCAAAGATTTTTTCAACGGGACAACAATCGAAAACAATTGTTGATTAGCTTTCTAGTAAAATGATAATTTTGCTGCGTAAAGAAAGGCTTTGCAAGCCGTTCAACTTTAACTATAAACAGCTTACCGAAGCAAATATGATAAATATATTACTTTCTTCTATTGAGGACCTCAGTCAACCAAAACAATGCGCCTGCAGCCCTACTGTTTAATGTCTGTGACGTATTGCTATCGTTATCTGTTGCTAACCATTTAGTTACGCAAAGATTTGATAAGAAGTGCAGCAAGTAATTCATTGTGTTGCCACACGAGAAAAAAAAAACTAAATTCCAACAAACGTTAACTTGAAATTAGGAATAAAAACAATAATGAAATAAACAGACAGCACAAAAGGTAAATAAATGTTATACAAACAAAGCAACAGCCCTTGAAATTAAAGTCGATGTTAAAAAGCAACAACTCAATGATAAGGCTTTCGATAAAATGCAACAACTCAACGATAAGGCTTTCTTTCGAATTACTCAGAAAAATTTGCTAATTTTTTTTTTTCCTCACAAAGAGTATATTGACAGTCTGTCAGAGTATTATTGTCCGTCTGTCAGGTAAAAAGTGCCTTTCGAAACTGGACTAAGTCATTTTCCTTTTTGCCTGAACTTAGTTAACATCAAATACTTGTATTATATAGTGAAAAAATGAATTTATGATAATTAATTGTATTAATTATATAATTGCCTTCGCTTTATTTGTATTTCTGCAAGAGTATTAAGTGTTCGCCATGCAGCAGAGACATTTTTTGTTTTGTTCTTCTTAGTCAAAAGCTTTCAAAAAATAATCAACGAGGTAATAGGTGAAAAGATACAAAAGCATTTACCCATATAAGATATATTTCCAACAAATCATAACAAAGCAATTACATCCAGAACAATCGTAATTAAAAAATGATGCTGGTTGTCATCTTTGTTTGAAACCGTATAAAAGTCTTCGGATTTTGGCCCACAAAGGCAGTCGAAATTATTTGTGGACAGAGACGAAATGAAAGCGTTTAGTAAGTGAAGTTTAGATGGGTGAACAGTTTATTTGCTTCAATGATATATTTAATTTATAGCACTGGCACTTGTGGGTTTGTTGGTCGTTTTGGGAGCCAGAGCCCAGAGTCTGAAAGAGGTAAGCGAATAGCTTGAACCCTTGAGCAACAGTTATATCAGTTAAGTGTTTGGTTTGCCCTTCAGCAATGCAAGGGCATTCAATATGATTTGTTGCCTTATCCAGACAAGAATGACCAGTTCATTGTGTGCGCCTATGAAGTGCCAGAGGTGCGTAGCTGCATGCAGGGTACTTGTTTTGATCCCATCTTGAAGGGCTGCAGCGATTCTGCCTGCACTCCAACTACTCCCAGTGACAAGGACATTGCAACTACGTTCTGCACAGAATTAAGAGGAGGAGAAAAAATACCATCAGTGGATTGTTCACACTTCTGGATCTGTTTGACCGAAATGGAGCCCGTCTATGTGGCCTGTCCACAGGGCAAACACTATTCACGCTCCGAACACGAATGCGTATCGCCGGCACTGGCCAAATGCGCCACCCCAGAGAAACTGTGCGAATCCAACTATAACACATATGCGGCCGAGACCTGCAATGAATACTATGGATGCACTAACAAAAAGCTGATAAAGCGCAGCTGCCCCTATGGTGAGGCGTACAGCGCAGAGAGTGCAGCGTGTATTAAGGATTTGAGCCATAGCTGTGTCACAGACTCCAAGCCGGACTGCCAAAATCCCGCCAATGCCAATGCCTACTTCAGTCACAGCGACTGTACCAAGTTTTATGTTTGCATACAGGCCCAAGTCTTCGAGGGCAAATGCGCCGATGGTTATGGATTTGACAGACAGAGCTCCAATTGCAGGCTCGGCATCTGCAAGAGTAACTAAGTCTTTAGATCAGCAATAAACTTAATAAAATCAAAAACACACAGGCTTTAGCAATGAACAGATCGCAATTGGTTTTATATTCTTTGTATACCGATATTTATCTCGGGATTGTGAATAGAAAAAACTACACACATATTTTATCGCAAGTGAGCAGCCTGGAATTCCAAAACAAGTGCTGAGGACAAGTCTTCACGAAGGGCAGATAGTCACACTGAATGAAGCGAGTGCAATCACCGGGGTAGGGTATAAAAACACCCTTTTGAGCAGCGCATAACGCAGCGAGGCTATCATCATGATGATTTTCCTGTGGATTGGAGGTGCGAGCAGATATTGGACACTTAGTCAATTCCATAGTTTCGCATCGCTGCAATTGCTCACTCCAGTAGGAATTAGCAGGACAGCTGAGAGTTCGCGTCTCGTAGTAGCGATTACAATCGCCTGGGTAGGGCATATGAGTTATGGCAGCCGATGGAAGAGTTTGTGATGTCGAGCAGCTGTTCAGAGCAGACAGTGCAAAAATTAACCATATTTGATATAACACTGCAAATGTATAAATGGCAAGAATGCATATTGCTTTAAAGTTATTTTATGACTTACTCACTTTTGTCGCACGCAGTCAAACTGGCAGCTTGGCAAAGCTGTTGCTTGGCTTTATATAATTTCACAATTTGTTATTAACAATACTTGACACAAGGGCAATAACAATATCTAAAACAATATAGGATTATATCTAGGCATATAAATAGCATGTACTTTTTGCATTTGTCTATAGCTGATATTGACCTTTTAAGTGGCCTTCACCTACAACATAAATATTAAATCAAGACTCATATTTGGATAGCACTTGGCACATTGATTTCTTTGGTATTTTAATATTTACCAATATTAATTCTTAATAGCCGCGCATTCCTTACGCTGATCAAGAATTAAAGATATGAGCGATAAAATTGATAAGCGATCATATAAAAAGCGTGTGTAGAAATTAAGAGCATTGAGTACTTTCTCTGGACTCTGCTGGTACAATCAACAGTAAGTGTTCATAAATCGAAACAGCAAGAAAAACAGGAGTTGAGTATTAAATTTGTTTTGAAGCGATGAAATTCACGATCCTCATTTGCTTGCTGGGGTTGGCATTAGTATCGGCTAACTATGGCAACGGTATTGACAATGGATCGGTAAGTCGAGGCGTGAATTGGTTTGCAGAAACTTTGAATAACAACATCTAATAAACAGCAAATACCGACTGAACCGCCTCATCAACTCGGCCAGTGTCCAGCCTACGATGATCCCAATCATATCGTGATGTTTGCCTATCCCAACGACTGCCGCAAGTACTACACCTGCATGAAAGGCCTCGCTTATCTGAATCAGTGTCCTGATAACTATTATTGGAGCCAGCTAACCTATCGCTGTGACTACAAGCAGTACTCCAACTGCGGAACTACAGATTTTCCAGACAATAGTCAGGCTGTTCGGTATAGCGCATATCCGGGAGATTGCACCCGCTATTATGAGACGCGTACTCTACGCTGTCCCAACAACTATCATTGGAATGAGCACCATGAGCGCTGCGATCTGCCACAATTTGCGGGCTGTACTGAATACCCTGCAACCTTGCCACCAGGTAGCTCGCCTGCTCCTGTGGTGCCAACTGCTGTTACGGCGCCGCCAACATCCCAGCCAACAACGCAACCGGACACACCTTATGACCCGGAATATCTCTGCAAAAATTCCGGTAATATGCCATATCTGCCATATCCTGGAGATTGCCAAAAGTTTATCTACTGCGGCCCAACTCCATCTGTGCTCACATGTCCCTCCGGCTTGTACTGGAATCGCAATACACAGTCTTGTGGCTCAACCAACATGGGCTGTACGAAGTAGGATCCTTTTATCGCCTTTGCAGACATATCGAGAAAATTGTTTCTATTGTAAATCTACCAAGTATTTGGTCATCAAATCGTAATCACTTTATTGATCAATCAAATCAATTCATTTTATTTTCTACGCAATTAAATCAGACTAACTTTCGATTGCGCCTTTCAATGACCTCTATGCAATATAGTTTGTTCGGCATTTGTCATATTTGAGTGCTTAGACAAACATATCACAAATTAATCTTATTTTTCTAACAATCCTACCAATCCAGCTATAGCGTATAGACGTTCGAACAGTCGCAGTTTGTCCTCACTGACGAACTGACAGCTGATCAAATCACAACCCAAACCATAGAGGTAGCAAACCGATTCGGTAATTGGAATTACCTTATTCAATATATGCTCAGACGGTGTTTTGAGAAGCTCCAAACGGATTTTTACAACTTTATTGTTAACCATCCAATCGGTTTCAACTTCACTTTTCGATAAATACATCTGTCCTTGTTTGAAATAGGGTCTAGTTGGTGCGGGAAGTTTCGGTATATCCGCTAGTCTATTATTAAAAAATCGCCAAACAATTTAAAGTAACAATTAAATATAATTTATATATGGTTGTAAATGATTCTTTCAATACCATAAAAGGGTACCAATATATTGAACAGCTTTTTAGTCAAATGAAATATCAACAGTACAGCTACTGTCAATATAATTATTCTTATTAAAATAAATTTTAATTGTTTGAACATAACAAACTTAGTTATCAAAGCCCTACTATTTATTTGAATTGAACACCTTCTCGCCTTGTACTACCAAGGCATATATCCTTCTGTTGTCCAACTATATATTAAAGTTGACTGTCTTCAGACACTATATTGTAGTCATAATAGTTTGCAATGCTAGTGCAATTTGCAAGCTGGGCATCCATGCAGCGCAATTCTGTCGGACTAAATTCCTCATCATCTGGGCAGGCATAGCCCACCGCAATGGGCTCTTGGCACACAATGTATTTTGAGCAGTTGCTCGGATACGGCACAAGTGAGCCGTCCGTTTTACCTTTACAGAAATCATGGGTTGATGGATTTGCCTCTGTTGTCTGGATGTCAGGTAGCTCAGTTGTTGATGTCAAAGGGGCTTCAGTTGTCGGTGCTATCGTGCAATTTGCGAACCAGGGCGCCATGCAGCGCTTAAGTTGGGCACTAAATTCTTGCCCCTCGACACAATCGAATACCACAGGATTGGGCCTATTGCACTGAATGAACTTGGTGCAGTCGTTGGGGTAGGGTACCAGATCGCCCACCGGCACGCCCTCACACGGGTCAGATTGCGGAGCAGTTGTAGTAGAAACTGTTGTTATTGGTGTTGTAGTTGTAGTCAAATCGGTTGTGCTTATGGTGGTAGAGATTGTTGTCATTTCTGTAGTTGTTGTACTCAAATCGGTTGTGGCTGTCGAGTAATTTTCTTGACAAGCATCGGGCGATACATTGGAACCACACTCGCCGCTGAAGGGATCGTAGTACTCGCCACTGATGCAAACACCCATCATGTAGACATTATCGTTAACACAACGGAAATACCATTGACAGTTTTCCGGATATGGAAATGTGCTGCCTGCGTTGTTCAAGCAGACGCCAGGGGCAGGCGTCGGTGACGGAGGCAACACGGTGCTCCCCGTTGTTTCGCAGTCACTCTCGTCCCAGTCCACACACTGCTGCAGAGCCTCGCTGAAGTAATATCCGTGAGTGCAGTAAAATGCTATAGGCACTGGCTCCGAGCACACGACATATTTACTACAGTTGTCGGGATAGCTCACATACTGCCCGTGAAGTAGTCCGGAACATAGCTCAGATGTAGGTTCATCTGTTGTTGGCGTTGGGGTTGTAGGTGCTTGCGTTGTAGCTGGAGTGGTCGGTGCTGTTGTGGTAGTAGGAATGGAGCCTTCCTGGCACGCTGTGGGTGAGACATCCTGTCCACAGTCGCCCGTCACAGGATTATACCAAGCATTGTAAATGCAGTCAACTACGGCAGACTCTCCGTTGCCCAAGCACACAATATACTGCTTACAGTTGGTAACTAAGGGATAGGAGATGCCAAATTCTTGATCTGCACAGAGCTGATGTGGACTCAGAGTTGTGCTTGATGTGGTGCTTGTCGTCTCAACTTCCAGACAAGCTGTTGGCGGCACATTAGGTCCACAATTGCCGCTCTTTGGATCGTACCAAGAATTTACTGGACACTTGGCCTTAACAGACTGATCATCGCCCAGGCATAGAATATACTCGTGACAGTCCTCAACATATGGAAATGAGATGCCGGACTCTTGGCCCTGACATTCGTTGTGTGCTTCAGTGGTTGGCCTCGGTGCTTCCGTCGTTGCCTTGGAAGTACTCTGCCCGTCATAGCACACAACCTCATTCGGATCGTCACATATATGTAAGGCCGGATTGAAAAGATAGGGCTCAGAACACTTATGGATCACAGCTTGCTGATTGATGCACACGATAAACTCGTCGCAGTGCTCAACAGAGGGCATCACAGTTCCGTTAGCAACATCCATGCACTCATCGGGTGTAGTTGTTGTCGGTTGTTGTGATTCGATACAATCAACTGCATCGGGAGTGTCACATATCTGCAGATCCTTATTGAAGAGTTTACCCGTAGCGCAGTATTCTAACTCTGTACGTGAATCCCTGCATGAAATATAGGCAGCGCAATCATATGGGTATTCATAATAGCCAGTCGGCAGGTGTTCACAAAAGGTTGAATCGAACAGTGGAGTAGACCCGAATAGCATGTTTACTTTGACATTTCTGGCTGAGATCCAACGTGCTGCAAACACGACCAACAACGAAATCAGGAGCCATTTGTAGGCGTCGGCTAAAAGAAAACAAAAAAAAATGTATCTCATAAGAAATAAGTCGAGAGTGCGTAGTAGATAGGAGCGAATAGTAAATACCCTGTATCCAGCTTACTTATACACTATTATCCTAATACAAAATTACAAGATTGTAAGATAGATTTTCTTGAGCAGCTTGTTTCCTTGATGCTTCTAGCTATATCGTGTTGTTTACAAAAGCCCCATGGGTGTAGTCCCCAAACAGGAATTCGGCAGGTTAAACAAGTATATAGAAATATATATGCATAGGTGATCCAAATAAATATAATGGAAATATGTTCATATATTAAGTTGCCTTTTTTAAGCAATTGCATATTTTATTGATAAAATAACATTCATATTAGAGCTTTCATTTCAGTTGTTTTCGTATAATACTGTGCTTGCGATCAGGATCAGGATATATTCTTGTTATTTAGTGCTGAACACATCCTGTGTTCTCTGGAAGATCACAAATGCCCTTCTGGCCATTGAAGTACTTGTCACCACAGCTGACCTTAAGTGGCTGTTGGTGGCGGCAGATATAGTAGTCGTTGCAGCGGGTTGGGGAGGCCAGTAGAAAACCGTTGGGCTTTCCAACGCATATGAATTGAATTTGGTCGTCCGTTGATGAGACTCCATTCATAAGTTGAGTAACTTCTTTGAGTGGACGGAAGCTAGGTCGGGCACGGAAAGGTTGCTTAGCTTTTGTCGCTGCTGCTCCTCCTGGACACTTTGTTGTGGTTGTGCACGGGGGTGTTGTTGTATTGCAATCGGTTGTAACTGTGATTGTTGTGCTGCAGGTTGTTGTTTTTGGTGTTGTTGTAATACACTCGGTTGTTGTTGTCGTTGTGCTACAAGTCGTTGTAGTTGTTGTCGTTGTTGTGGTTTTTGTCGTTGTTGTGGTTGATGTTGTTGTGCTACAAGTCGTTGTAGTTGTAGTCGTAGTTGTGGTTGATGTCGTTGTGCTACAAGTCGTTGTAGTTGTAGTCGTTGTTGTCGTAGTTGTGGTAGTTGTCGTAGTAGTTGTAGTCGTTGTTGTGGTTGATGTCGTTGTGCTGCAAGTCGTTGTAGTTGTTGTCGTTGTAGTCGTAGTTGTGGTTGATGTCGTTGTGCTACAAGTCGTTGTAGTCGTTGTTGTCGTAGTTGTGGTAGTTGTCGTAGTAGTTGTTGTCGTAGTTGTGGTTGTTGTCGTTGTGCTACAAGTCGTTGTAGTTGTAGTCGTTGTTGTGGTTGTTGTTGTTGTTGTGGTTGATGTCGTTGTGCTACAAGTCGTTGTAGTTGTTGTCGTTGTAGTCGTAGTTGTGGTTGATGTCGTTGTGCTACAAGTCGTTGTAGTCGTTGTTGTCGTAGTTGTGGTAGTTGTCGTAGTAGTTGTTGTCGTAGTTGTGGTTGTTGTCGTTGTGCTACAAGTCGTTGTAGTTGTAGTCGTTGGTTTCGTAGTTGTGGTTGTTGTCGTAGTTGTGGTAGTTGTCGTAGAAGTTGTAGTCGTTGTTGTGGTTGATGTCGTTGTGCTGCAAGTCGTTGTAGTTGTTGTCGTTGTAGTCGTAGTTGTGGTTGATGTCGTTGTGCTACAAGTCGTTGTAGTTGTAGTCGTTGTTGTCGTAGTTGTGGTAGTTGTCGTAGTAGTTGTAGTCGTTGTTGTGGTTGATGTCGTTGTGCTGCAAGTCGTTGTAGTTGTTGTCGTTGTAGTCGTAGTTGTGGTTGATGTCGTTGTGCTACAAGTCGTTGTAGTCGTTGTTGTCGTAGTTGTGGTAGTTGTCGTAGTAGTTGTTGTCGTAGTTGTGGTTGTTGTCGTTGTGCTACAAGTCGTTGTAGTTGTAGTCGTTGGTTTCGTAGTTGTGGTTGTTGTCGTAGTTGTGGTAGTTGTCGTAGTAGTTGTAGTCGTTGTTGTGGTTGATGTCGTTGTGCTGCAAGTCGTTGTAGTTGTTGTCGTTGTTGTCGTAGTTGTGGTAGTTGTCGTAGTAGTTGTTGTCGTAGTTGTGGTTGTTGTCGTTGTGCTACAAGTCGTTGTAGTTGTAGTCGTTGGTTTCGTAGTTGTGGTTGTTGTCGTAGTTGTGGTTGTTGTCGTAGTTGTGGTTGTTGTCGTTGTGGTTGTTGTCGTAGTTGTGGTTGTTGTCGTAGTGCTACAGGTCGTTGTAGTTGTAGTCGTTGGTTTCGTAGTTGTGGTTGTTGTCGTACTTGTGGTTGTTGTCGTTGTAGTTGTTGTCGTTGGGGTTGTTGTCGTAGTTGTGGTTGTTGTCGTAGTGCTACAGGTCGTTGTAGTTGTAGTCGTTGGTTTCGTAGTTGTGGTTGTTGTCGTTGTAGTTGTTGTCGTTGTAGTTGTTGTCGTTGTAGTTGTTGTCGTTGTCGTTGTTGTCGTAGTTGTTGTTGTTGTCGTAGTGCTACAGGTCGTTGTAGTTGTAGTCGTTGGCTTCGTAGTTGTGGTTGTTGTCGTAGTTGTGGTTGTTGTGGTTGTTGTCGTTGTAGTTGTTGTCGTTGTCGTTGTTGTCGTAGTTGTGGTTGTTGTCGTTGTGCTACAAGTCGTTGTAGCTGTAGTCGTTGTTTTCGTAGTGGTGGTTGTTGTCGTTGTAGTTGTTGTCGTTGTTGTCGTAGTTGTTGTTGTTGTCGTTGTGCTACAAGTTGTTGTAGTTGTAGTCGTTGGTTTCGTAGTTGTGGTTGTTGTCGTAGTTGTGGTTGTTGTCGTTGTAGTTGTTGTCGTTGTAGTTGTTGTCGTAGTTGTGGTTGTTGTCGTTGTGCTACAAGTCGTTGTAGCTGTAGTCGTTGTTTTCGTAGTGGTGGTTGATGTCGTTGTAGTTGTTGTCGTTGTTGTCGTCGTTGTGGTTTTTGTCGTGGTTGTAGTTGTTGTGGTTGTTGTAGGCGTTGTTGTTTTGGTAGTTGTCGTTGTAGTTGTGGTCGTTGTTGTTGTTGTTGTGCTGCACGGTGTTGTTGTTGTTTTATCCTCCTCTTCGGTGCATGGCGGCTTTGTGGTAACAGAAGGGGTAGTTGTTGTAGGCTGAGCATTTCCGGAGCACGGCGGGCGAGTGTTAACACATGGCGGAGTTGTTGTCAGGCAAGGAGTTCCCGCATCCCTAGCTGAAACTGATAGAGGAACATATTGCCGACTATCCAAGTTGGCACCAAGTATGCTGCTTGCAGAAACTGCTATAAGCAGTAAGGTTAAAGCTGCAAAATGGCAAAGCGTTAGGTCAATAATTTCGGTATTTTGGATTCTAGCCATTTACCATATAAGTTGCGCATGGCTGCTTTTAGTTGCTGATGTTAAAAATTTATATTTTACAGCTTTTCACAGCCTCGGCAGTACTGAGAGACTGCTTGCTCTCAATACCCTTTTATACACATTGCAATAATAACCAATGTGCCAAAAATAGTAATTTTCGTGTGGCTGCCTCATTAGCAAAGTAGGTTCCTGGCTCATTCCTTATCAAATATTGATATCGAGATCTTTATCGTGCTTGTTGCACCCGCAGCTGGTCCATTTATGTCTGCGGATTTCATGTACCCTGTTCTTTCATTTTCGAAGGTTCGTTCTTCTTTAAAGCCAATAATAGATATCCGTCTGGGCAGACACATAGGGCAAACACATACTCTAGCCTGTATCCTACAATTGCTAGAGTATTTTTATGTTGCGATTCTCCGGAGATGATTTGTTTTATCGACTTTATTTAGGCAAGGCATAACCGGTTCCCGATAATCGCTTTTTTGTGTACTTACAAATAATAATTAATTAAGCTGCTCGTTGAATTATTATCATAAGCTAAATATAATCATATAATAAAATGAATATACAATTAAGCTCTACGTTTATGAAATGCACAATGTCTATAGCAGTCTCCGCTAGCGTGTATCTTTGCTAGGGTATATCGCAGTCGAGCGTCTCGATTGTAGAATTATTTTGTGTTATTTATATCATTGCATTTAATTATGATTATGAAAAGCATACGTCTCAAGGCGACACGTTTTTCATCATCATTAAATCAAAAGAAGAAGAAAAAAAAAATAGAATTGCATTGGCCTATTAGATAGTTAATATACTAATTGTGCACTATTGAATTGATTAATTTCATAACAAGACACAGACAACTCGCACTTCACCAACGAATTGGCATTTGAGATTAATTATTGACTAAACCGTCTAAAAAGTACACCAAATCCATATATAACCTTACAATTATTTATAAATAAAATTGTATATGAAATTACTCCAGTTTTTGGAGTAATTCCCATTTATAAATATATTTTTAACTAAGTTAATGTCTCTAGTACATCACGCTAGTTAAGTACTAAAATATTAACTTAAGATCAAATTTAAGAGTCCAGGGTTTAAAAATTGTTTACCTTTCATTTTGATATTTGCGTTAAGTTTTATTATTGTTCTTATTTCCTTCCTGGCAGCTCGCACGATAAATAGCATACACTTTATTGTTTCGAATTATTTCTTAATATTTGTATTGTTTGTAGTTCCACGACTTGGAAGACACTAAAGTGACTAATGGTATTGAAAAGATATTTCAGCAATAGAGCCAGTAAAAGAAGGAAACTGATAGACAGACGTTAATCATATCAAGATATAACCCACTCTAGTGATAATGAATACGCATGGATAAGATTTTGGCGGAATTTCATTTAAAATCGTAGCATTAATTAATGAAATAACATTTTGGTCAAGGGAAAGAACAGCATGGACTGAATGTTTGTTTTTTTTTCTTGTATTTGTTTATTTACTAGCAAATAATCATTGCACTGCCTAGCCTTGAAATTTTGCGATAAGTTAAAGAGTGTGCATGTTAATGAAGACACGTCCACTTGGAGCTAAATGCTTATTGGCCCCTCCGCCCATCTGTCCATTTTAATGAATCCACTGATATTATATATCAGAGAAAATTAAAAATATTTTATTTAGACAGTTGCAGAAAAAAATATTCAGTTTTCTAGTAGCTTATATAGGCGCTCACTATCTCTCTGTATAATTTCGGGCGTTCGTGTTTTTGTCATGTATGGCAAATGGCATACTTTTAGGAAAACTTCGTAAATTAATTAATCGTAAATCAATTAATACTTATTGAACCCAATTCCAGTTGGTTCATTTGGAACATCTAATATTTTCTCTAAATACAAATAATTTCAATGAAATGTACATGGATGTTGAGAGTATTCTATTATTTGAATTTTTTGGCGAATTTGTATTTTACAAAATTTGTAGTAAGCTATTGGATGTCAAAACCTTTCCTGGCAACTGGCAATTTATATTCTTTTAAAATTATAAGAGCTTTTGTCTTACATATTGACATATATTATATTATTATATTGTATTATATTACATATATTTAGGTATGCCCAACCCCCTGAGTGCAAAGTGGCAGGAAAAGTACAAATTTAAGTTTTGCAGAAAGACTTGACTGTGCAATTCTCATGTAATCATATGAGCCTTGCACGTTTACGTGCTTTGGCTATGAGTTTTATTATTTTAACAAGCTGTTTAAAATTGTGAAATAAATCAAATTTATTTTACCTATTTCTCTCTAGCAGTCTATCGGTTCTCTCTGCCTCTCTATCCCTACTTCCTTTCCTACTCTTATCCTAATTAACCAACTCTCTATCCCTTTTGTGTGTCAGAAATGTGATAAAAGGAGAAAGGCTATAATTTATGTAAATAAATAATAATAATTATATTTCATGGCAATTCAGACCTTAGCATAGCTTATCGACTAGGTTATAAAACAGATCCCTTTAAGCTGTGAAGGCGCAATAAAACGCAGGTTGACGGTAGGCGGTTCACCATTTTGATTCCAGTTTTTTTTTTTTTTCATTTCAAACACATGATTGATTTTATCGATTCCCTGTAAAAATGATAGGCAAAAAAGTTTCCTACGTATCAGTCACATGGGAAGTGAAGATTATATTATCTATCTGTACAATTTACATATTGGCACTACATTCATTCATTCATTTTCCACAACTGTTCAGTCTATAAAAACAAGTCGCGTTGGTGCGTTCGTACAGTTTAAACGAGAATTTGACCGTGACTAGAGACATGAAGTCTCTTGTGGCCCTCTGGATAATTCTGATCCTAAATAAAACAGCTGTCGCCCAGCTTAAAGTAAAATATTAAAGTAATCTTTGTTGGCGGTCTCATCGGTATTAATTAAATCTTACAGGATGGTTTTATGTTTCACACCTCTATCTGTAAAGGTAAAAATGGCGTCCTGTTGCCCATGTTTGGGAAATGTCGAGGATACTATATTTGTAATGAAGGCAAGGCTGTTGCTGGATCATGCGATGAGGATAGCCGATTCAACCCCCTAACCCTCCATTGCGATGATGTAGACAATGTAATCTGTCCGTACGAAACACCAGATGACGACGAAGATACGGAAATAGATACTTCGGAAGCCGATACCTTGGAATTCGACAGTGACGAGATCGAAGAGCCTCCTGTCAACACGAAACCGCCTAAGCAACTGCCTAATCCGAATAAAAATCACATTGCCAATTTGTGCTTTCACAAAAAAAATGGAGTAGCCTTGCCCAAAGCAGGATCCTGCACTGAGTACTATATGTGTAGATCAAAACTGGCCCACCTACGCCACTGCCCAGGCCGACAACACTTCAGTCCAACTCGAAAACTCTGCATGAAAGCATCAGAAGCCAAGTGTTCCATAAGCCAGGTGCAGGTGCAGGTATCGACAACGGAAGAGCCCAAGTCTAGCCCCGCCGTAACCGCTGGTCTTTGCTCCGATGAGAAACAAGATGCTCTTGTTCCCCATAGAAATGACTGTAGCAAGTTCTTGCTGTGCAGCAATATGATGTTCCTGGTAATGGATTGTCCACCAGGATTGCATTTTAATGCCAAGGTGAGGCGATGCGACTATCCAAAGATCGCACAGTGTGAGGTACCAAAGAAGCCAACTAAGAGAAATAAGAAAAAACTGTCCAAAAAGAGCAAGCCGAAAGGAAGCCTCTTCTAAATACACATATACTAATACAAGTGTTGCAATTTGAAGAGCTGTGACTTCTTTTGTCTACCTTTTGATGTGTTATTGGTGCATTATAGGAATTTCATAATCTAAGGCTTATTTATATGGTAAATACCACAAGATCCTATGCAGATTTTTGCGAAAATTCATTACGGCTATTCGGTAAATCTATCCCTTGACTGGTTCCAAGGTTGCATGGGTGAAAGTTCGACTTTCATCCGTTGAGTTTCAAACTTAATTTATAAAGTGCGAATTTCGCAAAACTATGCCCAAAATATATGATTGTATGTCAAATCTACTCGGAGCTTACGCTATAATATAGCTGCAATTGAAACGATCTTTTATTCATACAAAACTTCAAAGTTAAGCACGAAAATGCAGCTTTAAGTGGTTTTATTAATGAATTCAGCGTTTAGCAGGCCAGTCGCACGAACGGATCTGTTCGTTGAAAACCAGGCCAGGTGAGCACGTAAAGTTAATCTCACATTCGCACTGGCAAACAATGTAACCTCCGCTGTTGTCAACGGCGAACATGGTACCATCGCGTTGTCCAACACAGCGACCTCCGCTCTCGCAGTAGGTGCCCGAGGGGCCGGCAGTGGGTCCGCTGGGTGGCGGACTGCCATCGTCGCATTTGACTACATCGGGATAGTCGCATTCCTTTGTTAGATTATTGAACTGCAGATTGTTTGGACAGGTTTGCAGGATCAAGTGGCCGTAGAGACAGTGAATGAATGCGGAACAGTTCTTATCGACGGGGCCGATCCAGTCATTGGGAACATCACAGCACTCGGGATCGCAAACCTTGGGAATGCACACGCCGTCAGTGTCGATAACACAAGCCTTTAGATTCGTATCGAAATAGGTTTGGCTGGCGCACTTCCTTCTGACCATCGTGCCATCCACACACTCAAAGTATCCGGCACAATCAGCAGGATTAACTTCAATTTCACCATCTGTGCATGTTGTTGGAACGCACTGGCCGTTATCCTTCTCACACTTGCCACTCTGGGAGTTCCAATAGTCTCCGCTATCACAGGAAGCGGATACAAATGCTCCGTCCTTGCACACCTGATATTTAGTGCAGTCTGTTGGGTTCGCTTTAGTCTCTCCCTCTGTACATGTTTGAGGAACGCACTGGCCGTTATCCTTCTCACACTTGCCACTCTGGGAGTTCCAGTAGTCTCCGCTATCACAGGAAGCGGATACAAACGCTCCGTTCTTGCAGATTAGATATTTAGTGCAGTCTGTAGAGTCCGTCTG